TTCATCAATTTCTTCAATGTTAGGAACAGATAAAAGTCTCAGGGGACCAAATCTGGTGAATACGGTGGCTAATGCATGATTACGGTATTGTTTTTGACAAAAAAATTACGAACAGGCAATGACGGGTGAGCAGGGGCTTTATCGTAATGCAAATGCCATGAATTGTTTTTCCATAATAGATGTTTTCTTCGAATCGATGTATCTTCCTTATCGACCGTAAGACCATGTGGCAAAAACTCCTAATGCACTCTGTCACGCTAATCAAACTTGAAGTGCTTTTTTTGATCTCGGCTCTTCTGGGCGCTTCCACTGGGACGATTGGGCTTTGATTTCGAAGAGTATTATTGGTAAGAACTTCCATTATTGATATGATTCTACTATGACCCAAAATCTATGAAAGAACAAATGAAATAGTTGAAATATCAATTATATCAAACAATAAACCCTGGAAGAAAAACACAATGAAACGAATAACATAATCGAGATACAGAATGAAATACCTACAGAGTAAAAAAAAACTGAAANTGAAAACATTTTTAAATTTTTGTTTATTTTGAATTCCACTCTTCTTAGTTTTATTGATCATTTTATTCGTTTCATTGTACTTTTATTTGAGGTTTTTTTGTTGAAAATAATTGATAGTTTACCTATTTTATTTGTTCTTTCATTGATTTGGATATTAAGGTAGAATCATATTACACAATTTTTGTTGAAAATAATTGATAGTTTACCTATTTTATTAGTTCTTTCATTGATTTGGATATTAAGGTAGAATCATATTACACAATAGTAGTCCGAACTAATTGAATTCACCATGAAACATTGTCAACCACTTACAAACAAGCGTTTGGTTTTGATGTCATAACCATATACTCATGATTGCATTGGTCACTAGTTATGATTCTTCCAAGCAAATCTGGATCATCTTTGTCGTCATCCAACAATTCCTGAGTCCTCATGCGACGATTTTTTGGTCAAAATTCAGCAATTTCCACTCTTCATTCACATAATTTCGAGAGAAACTGCATGACATGAGTCAACCGATTTGCCCCTCAGCAACTTTTCTGATAATGATTCGACGATTCTTCATTTTCTTCACATTCTCAACATTTTCATCGGGTGTTGATGTGCTGGGTCATCCAGTGCCAGCGCACTCATTCACATTTTCTCGTCCGTTTGTGAAAAGCTTCTACCACCGACAGAGTATTCCTGATTTTGAATGAAATAACTGTATGTCACTATCAAAATTTTGAGTGTTTTTGAGCACTACATTCCATTTTCCACACAGGATTTGATGCGAATCTTTTGATCCAATTTTTTCGATAACAGAAAATCGCTGAACACGCAACACTTCCAACTTTTATGCCGCTCACCAACAAACCAAACACGCTGAACACCTGAAACTGTGAACATATGTTCGAGACGAGTGTACCAACATTAAAAAATCGCTAATCGAATTTACAAATCCCGCAAAATTCGAACATTCATCCTATTTTTTGAACACCGTTAGTTAAGGAAGCAATGGATTACGTTGTAAACGACTTCTCCCGATATAGACGGCCCAGACACTCTGTCGAATGAGGCCCTCATGTCCCCCGTTAAAAGATGACCAATATCTTCACTCAAACACCCCAGCCAGGTAGGGTCCACGTGAAGAGCGGTACTGATGTCTGAGGACATTCATGTCCTCATCTCATAAATCAGTCTTGACCCATTCGTCTTCCCAACGAACATCAGTCCAAAGGGTAAGGGAGCCAGGCTCCCACCTGTCCGAACTCAAGATGGCTATCGGCATTTCTTGAAAACTCCATCGCAATTAAACCGTTTGAATTGTTTTTTAGTTATCGTTTTCACTTGTTTTCACAGGATTTCATTAATCTAGCAATGTTTGTGGTGGGATGCATTGGTGTTCTCACAGCGTGAAACTCATGCTCATGTCTTTATAGTTGTTTTATTCTGTCTTTAATCGGGTCTTGCCTCAACCCTTCGATTTTGCGTTTGACACATTCCAGTTGATACTATAGACCAGTCGGTTTGCTGTCATATCCTCAAATATTTGGAAAGCTTCAACATCTAGAGCGATCATCAAGATGGTTTTCGGAAACAAAGATCAACAGGCGACCTTCTAGCGTATGACACCCATATTTGGGAAGGTTGTTTTATCAAACGCTGCCTCGATATCTATGAATATACCAATGCGAATCTTTTGATCCAATTTTTTCGATAACAGAAAATCGCTGAACACGCAACACTTCCAACTTTTATGCCGCTCACCAACAAACCAAACACGATGAACACCTGAAACTGTGAACATATGTTCGAGACGAGTGTTCCAACATTAAAAAATCGCTAATCGAATTTACGAAGCCCGCAAAATTCGAACATTCACCCTATTACTTGAACACCGTTGGTTAGGGAAGCAATGGATTACGCTGTAGACGACTTCTCCCGATATAGAAGGCCCAGACACTCTGTCGAATGAGGCCCTCATGTCCCCTGTTAAAAGATGAACAATATCTTCATCCAAACACCCCAGCCAGGTTAGGGTCCACGTGAAGAGCGGTACTGATGTCTGAGGACATTCATGCCCTCATCTCATAAATCAGTCTTGACCCATTCGTCTTCCCAACGAACATCAGTCCAAAGGGTAAGGGAGCCAGGCTCCCACCTGTCCGAACTCAAGATGGCTATCGGTATTTCTTGAAAACTCCATCGCAATTAAACCATTTGAATTGTTTTTCAGTTATCGTTTCCACTTGTTTTCACAGGATTTCATTCATCTAGCAATGTTTGTGGTGGGATGCATTGGATTTCTCACTGCGTGAAACTCATGCTCATGTCTTTATAGTTGTTTTATTTTGTCTTTAATCGGGTCTTGCCTCAACCCTTCGATTTTGCGTTTGACACATTCCAGTTGATACTATAGACCAGTCGGTCATATTCTCAAATATTTGGAAGGCTTCAACATCTAGAGCGATCATCAAGATAGTTTTCGGAAACAAAGATCAACAGGCGACCTTCTAGCGTATGACACCCATATTTGGGAAGGTTGTTTTATCAAACGCTGCCTCGATATCTATGAATATACCATATAGGATGGATTCTTTGTTGTCCAATGATCTCTCGATTCTGCCAACCATATGGTGAAGGGCCGAATTAGTAGACCTTCCCGGGGTATATGCATGCTGATTTGGATGAAGTGGGTTGTTAACAAGTACTTCATCTCTTATATAGCGCTCACATAGTCTCTTCATGGTTTTTAAGAAAAACGATGTGAGACTAATTGGTCGGAATGCATTTGTAGTTGCTGGTAATTACCCAGCAACTACACTCCAGGAATGTACCCCTGGTAGTAGGAGAATGAATACTCCAGATGCTCTCTAGCAGAGCAATAAGTAATAATGTAGAAGACATCACAGTGAAAGGACTGGTCATGAGGGGATGTCCACAGGGAGGGGTCTTATCACCCCTTCTCTATAACATAGTTCTGGATACCCTAATTATTCACCTTAACAAAAATGGATTCTACACAATCTCATACGCAGATGACATAGTTATCTTGCAGACAGGCAAATTTGTAAATCCACTGTGCAATAGAGCGCAGGATGGGCTCAAATTAATAGAAACATGGTGTAAGAAACACTCACTGTCGATTAATCCCAAGAAGACTTTGATGGTCCTTTTCACCAGGAAAAGAAGTTTAACGGGCTCAAAACCTCCCGAAATTTTCAAAAGCAAACTAAACCTCTCTGAAGAGGTGAAATACCTTGGTACTATCCTCGACAAGAAGCTAACATGGAACTCTCATCTACAGAGTAGAGCAAAAAGAGCATACGTGGAGACCTAGGAGGATAACTCCTCGGGAGGATGTACAATGGGTCACATGTGGCCTAAGTGCGTGGGATTACACTCACCCTCCCTACTCTACAGATACAGATACCCATATTTGGGATAACGCAATCGAGGAACATGGGGAATCAAGAGCTGTTGCGCTTGATATTTCTGAGGCCTTCAATCGTGTGTGGCATGAGCGTTTGCTGGGCAAACTTAGATGCTATGGCTTGTCAGATCATTTCTGTTTATGGCTCTCCAGCTTTCTGGAAGAACCTTCCCTGCAAGTGGCCGTCAATGTATATCTCTCGAATACTTTCACCAACAAAGCTGGTGTTCCCCAGGGATCCATATTGTCACAAACTTCCTGTTTATTGTATATCAACGACTTATTGGAAAAAACTAAGAATCCAATATATTGCTTCACTGACGACAGCACACTTGTCTCGTCATTCCATTTGGATACCAGGATATCGGCTACGGAAGCAGATCTTCACCGGCAGTAGGAGGTTGCATATCTTAATGCGGATCTAGAAGTGATTTCGAATTGGACTGGAAGCCAATCAGGTTCAATTCATTGCCACCCAAGAAAATTATTGTCTCCGAACCGGATATAATAATGCCAGGTTGAAAAATTCCGCTTTCTGCTTCGATAAGTTTGTTGGGTGTTATAATGGACACTGTTCTAAACTTTTGATGCTTTATGAAGCTCAGATCAGACCTTCGTTGGAGTATTCTTCTCATGTATGGAGCTCTGCCCCCAAACATTCCATCCAGAAAATAGCCATCCACCTGATTAAAGGAGACGTGCAGCCTTCATAGTCTGGAACATCGAAGAAAGGTTGGAGATTTGTCTCTCTTCTATAGATACTTTCACGGGAAGTGACTTGGCACATTTGATTCTACCAAGACCGGACATATCAGAAATGGGTGACGGATTGTGGCTGCTTATCGTTCCAAGATTCAACTCAGTACACCTCGAACTTCACTGGCTGAAAACTCTTTCACCTGGAGAACTGCGTTTATATGGAATAAACTTCTTGGGAACGTTTTTCCAAATGTATTACTGAAAACAACAAATATTGGAGTGAAAGTTATGAATCCTTCAACCAATTCATATAACCAATTCATCTTTTCGTTCAAACTCCATTGACTAATGAGGCCATTCAGTTACAGGTCTTGATGCTCGTATTAAAGTAAAACAAGTTGGCAATTTATTCGAATTTTCTTCGTAGTCTTCAGAATACGTTTGTCTTGACGAGTTCGCGATTGCAGAGGTGAGTATTATTAAGTTTCTCAATTGTTGCCTACTAACACCAATGTTGATTGAAAAAGAGTATTGAAGTTAGTTGAAAACATAATAACAATTACAGTTTTTTCAATTCCTGTTTTTAATTTCCAAAATGATTATTGCATGACTTGAATAACATACTTGTTTTCGTCAGTTGACGCACTTTCTCTTACATGAATTTGAACTGATTCATTAACAAAATCTTTGAAAAAATATACCAATTGATAGTCTGGCTTTTTCAAAAATTACCATTTTGGCATTATCGCAGAGGGTATTATCTAGGTGGATTACTACACATTTTTCTCAAAGAGTAACGTGAAAGATAGAAGATAGATAAATAAATTCTATTGATCCTTTCTGCTACGTAATATGTAGATGTGATAAGTCATAATTGTAGTTAAGTTATAAACATGCATATAGACGAGCGTACTAAGGTATAAACAAACATACAAATACATTCTAGGTCTAGATAAAATGCAGGTAAAATAGGTTTCACAGGCATCATATAAAATCCTATGTGGTAATATCAATGATATACAGTGCATTTCTTCAATAACGCCATCCCCTTTTATTTTTTGAACGGGTCAACTAAAAAAATTGAAATTTGAAATAATGAAATCAATGCATGAATACTTTCTTTTGTAGTGGAAGTGACAGAAGAAACTCTCAAGATGGCGACTGGGTGTCATCTGGGAAAAAAAATTTAATGGAAAGGGGGGTCTCGTGACACATCATTTTGAAGCTTCTGAAGAATACTTCACAACTCTAGAATATGAAGGCAATATCTTCACCTACTACAAAAAGGCGAAACATTCAATACTTTCCTGAAGACAAACACATTGATGTCGATATTTCTAGAAATATTCTTTTTCCCTGCCATATGGCAATTCCAACAACTCGATAAGGTTTGTTGAGTTAATTTTGTTTATGAAACATTAAAAATGTCAGTACGACAATGAACATTATTGTCCAGTTAGAATATTTTCATTTAGCTTTCGGTTTTAGTAGTAGAAAGGTACCACGTCAACAATCTCTAAAGTGGACAATTCTCGTCCATTGGAAGAAAAAAATGAAGCGATTTTTATTTACGGTGCGAAGCGTAACTTTCATGAGACCAAAAGGATTTTCAATGAACGTTTTACGAATCGTCCTGTCTGTAGAAAATATTTGAGACAACTTGTATCCAAATTCACAACTGCCGGTAGTGTTCATGACAAAAACATAACGAAGAACTGAAATAGAATGGTAAACCAATTAATTGAAGATGACCCTGATCGAAAAACAGAATTCTGCGATAACTGCGGAAACCACCTATCTCCACAATATTTGTGTTAGTGACAAATGCACATTGTTTCAAACGGCAATGATCACAGACAAAATTGCCGTTATTGGAGTGACACCAACACTCACGTTTTCCGGGAAACACATACCCAATATCCAGAAAAAATTAAAATTTGGGCAGGAATATTGCGAAACAATATTGTAGGACCTCTATTTATTGATAAAAATCCAACAATGGAACTGTATTTGAATATGCTAGAAACTACTTTTGACCCTCTCATCATTGAAAACGTGGAACCGAATCCTGATTAATTCGAAATGGATATCGTATTCCAACAAGATGGAGCATTACCCCATTACTCCAGACAAGTAAGAAACTATTTTGATACTACTTTTCAAGGTCGTTGGATTGGCCGTCGAGGTCCCACAGAATGGCCAGCCCGCTCGCCAGATTTGACATCTTCGGAATTTTTTTATGGGGCTATTTGAAGCAAAAGGTGTACGAAACTGAACCTGCTTCAATATTGGATATACGGCAGAGAATAATAAATATTTGTAGAGAAACTGTGTTCGAAAATGTTCTGCGTGAAATATCGGATAGGCTGTTCATATGTCAAGAAGTTCTAGGCAACCATTTCGAGCATTTTCTGAACTGACCTCATGCTCTTTAGTTGAATTTCAATGTATTCAGGCAATTATTGAAAGTTCCGCCATTTTGTAGTAGTTGAAGATATTGACATTATATTCTAGGGTTGTGAAGCATTTGTCAGGAACTTCAAAAATAGGTATCACAAGACCCCCTTTCCCATTTAATTTTTTTCCCAAATGGCGCCCAGTCGCCATTTCGAAAGTTTCATCTGTCAATTTCACTTCAAAATAAAGTATTCATGTATTAATTTCATTATCCCAAATTTCAATTTCTTGAGTTGACCTGTTCAAAAATTAAAAGGGGGGGTTATATTAAAAAAATGCACTGTATATAAATCCAGATAGGATGTGGTCGAAATACATTATATAATAAAAAAAATATTATAATCACCACCTTGCATAAAACAGTAAACAAGTAGAGGTAACAAGGACATTTTAAAATAAAGTTGTCAAAAGAAATACGATCGCTCATTGCTTACTTCAAGTGTAAATTCGTCTACTGTGTAAAAACCCTTTTCTGATAAATAACGTTTGAAAATTTTTGAAGATATGAGGAGACAGAGTCTTTGTATCATTTGGCAGTGGACTATATATTCGAATGCCGTCAAATTTATAAGATTTTTCATATTTTGCGTGATGATGTTTTCGTGTTTTGATCTTATTTGCAGGCATCTATGTTTGGAGAAGTTCTTTATCTTCATGTACATTTCATGTTTTTGAAATGTACCAAATTGCAATTGTAAATATTTCATTTTGTTGGAATATATCCCTACATGGAGTTTTAAGTGTGAATTAAATATCAATCCCAGCAATGCTTTTTGTTTTATAAAAATCCTGTCTGATCCAGTAGATAGTCCCCAGACTGGAATGTTATGATACATAATCAAGTGAAATTTGGCATAATGAACTGATATCAGTGGATTGGAATCTAACTTGCACTTAAGAGATTTTTAACAGGTAGTATGATTGATTCAATTTCTTGCACATATAATCTATGTGTTCTTGCCATGTGGGACTGAGTCAACTATTGTTGTCGAGCTGGTCAGTTCTAAAGGTTTATTTTACCATGTGTCCTTATATTATAGTCAGGTAAATCCAATAAATGAAATACTATTTCAACAAGTTATATACTATAATATTAGGTATTGGTTTACCATCGTTATTCATAATATTATTATGTTAATTTATTTTTACACCCTCATAGGCATCTAGATGCCTATTGAATATTACTGGAGTTTTTTCCCCAACACCAAACCGTTATTTTTAACACCTCGACACGTGTTTCGATCACCAAGTGATAATCTTCAAAGAGGAAGATTAAAATTAAGGACTAGTGCGAGCTAATCCTATTTATGCTATAAAGGAAACTCATACAGGTAAATCATCCAGGCATACCAACCTTAATTAATTTTACAATTTTGCTTTATCTATTATTTTACAATATATGTTTATATAAAACAATTTTATAATATTCATTACTACACCAAAGGTTCCAAACAGTGCATCATGAATCTAGATGCCTGTTGTTGCTAACTTACCTAACTAATCGTAATGAAGTGAAGTATATGGAATGATTTTGTTGCAAAATATGATGAGCGACTGTGTTCCTTATATCTTATTTCAATAGATCTTTTTGTCTGTCCATAATATTTTGCAGATTTTTCCAAATTCTCGACTTTGACTATTCGACTTCCTGAAAGGCTCTGTAGTGTATGACTTGTTATAAAAAAACTACCTTCATACCTAGTTCCTTGAAAATCATTCCAAAGATTTTCGTGTATTGCTGGTCCTTTTTCAAAATGGACAAAAACCAGAAAAATATATCTGTTCCATACCACCAATAAAGTTATACAGTACGAAGCCTTTTAGGAAGTCCAAACGCCAAAGCCAAGAGTTGGAAGAGTCGGGAATTTACTATCAGACATATAGTTTTTAAAATAGTCATATTATCAAACCACAAAATGAATTTTCGAGCCCCGAAAAAGAATTTATCAAATTCGAAACGTCAGTAGTAGTTGAAAGATTTTAGGCCGCTTCTTGACGTCTCGATTTTTAGATTTTTATTTGTTCATTCAGAGATTTCATAAAATTTTATATCATATTAGACAATGGAAGTCCGAACTAATGAAATTCACCATCATGAAACATTGTCAACCACCTTCAAACAAATATACTCTAAATAGTTAAACACTGCGCGAGCTCTGCCCTCTGTCTATGACAAAATATATAAAAAACAGTTCAAACAAAAATAGTGTCAAATTCAATTTTCTACAATATTCCTAATGATTACAGGTAGCATTAAATTCATAGGAAACGAGATATTTGTGTAAATGTGTAAAAAATCGATGTTTTAACCTCTGACCTTGGAATATCTGTAGTTGCGGACATCCTATGATAAGTAGGTTTCGAAACAAGTTTTAGGCTGTCGAAATAAAAGTTTACACAAGTTCATAGCTGACTATCTCGCAATCCGAGGTGAAACGCCTAATATTCCTGGTGAATTATTGAAAAAATACTGTCACAAAATATTGAAATGTGTGAACTCTCTACCATTCTTCATCTTTATCAGTGCCGAAAACAGTGTATGAACATCCTTCACTATGAATAGTCTCTCGGGGGTTATGTATGATTATTCGTTGAATTCTTGAAGAAGTTACTTCACAAAAAATTGAATTACCAGTAACTTGATAGTTGTCATTATGTACTTGTCATGCACTGTTTGCTACTTCTTGTATGATAATGAATATTATTGGAGTTTTTTACCAACATCAAACCGTTATTTCAACACCTCGACACGTGTTTCGATCACCAATTGATCATCTTCAAGATGAAGTTTGAACATTCAGTTTAACCTTCCTGTTGAAGATGATCACTTGTAGATCGAAACACGTGTCGTGGTGTTGACATAACGGTTTGGTTTTGGGAAAAAACTCCAGTGATTTTCAACTTAATAGTTGATAAATATTACTTTTAGCTTGCATCACATAAAAAGCGCTATCCAATAACATTTTCGTCTTCTTTATTGTTTGTGTATCCTCCCTATGTTATCGAAGAAGTTTCACATTTTTTTACATTACCTTGAGACTTCCATCAAACATGTTACTAGCAATAATGTGTATGATAAATTGTCCTTATCTTGGCATGTGAAGGCCTTTGCCGACCTTTTGTTTGTTGACTTCCAGGGTTTGCTTCAACTATCATCATTGTTTCACTTGGATAAGAGTTGCCAACGGTATGGGGCAAACATCAGAATATTTTGAAAATATACCTCGAGTACTAGAGCTGGGTTTGAAAGTAAACAACAAAACCAACAAGGATCTGAAGGAAGATGTTATAATTGTAAAAGAATGGGTGTTAACACAACCACATTTACCAGAAGTACCAGGTGAGATTTGAAATATTTTAGGGTAAATGATACACTTCCTAGTTTTTATTGCTTAACTATCACTACTGCTACTGAACAAATCGTCTGATGTTTCCGGGTTTATGATCCGTGGTCTGCAGGTATTTATGCCTAACGTTTCGTCTGCTACTGCGGCAGACATACTCAGAGCAAACTGAGCATGGTCTGGTGCGTTTGCACTTACGTAAATGGTTCGACCCTTCTTTGATATCCATGTTGATCTTTCTCAAGGTTGAAATTCTTCTTATGTTTATTGGAACGAAAGAAAGCTTCAGAACGCTCTTGACAGCCCATAGCTCAAGGTGAAGGTAATCAATCAGAATAAGAATCGAAACAATGCCGTCCCTATAAAATATATACTTATATATTTGTAAGTCAGAGAATTGAAAACAATGCAACAATTGCAATTGAACATGGTAGCAATTAAATTGGTAGCAAATTGCCACAAACGACTCTCCTCGATAGGAAGATTTAACAGATTGTCTCTGGTCTGGATTCCTAGCCATACTAGCCTGGAAGGCAATAAGGCTGCTGACTCCCTTGCAAAGAAGGGTGCTGTAAGCAACTCCATTGGACCAGAACCTGTCATTGACATCGCTTAAGGCTTTGCCAAACAAAGATTTAACAACTGGATGGCAAGAAAATTCATGGACTTCTGGCAGAATCTTTCAGAATTGATCACTCCAAGGCGCTTATTTACCTTTCGAAGCTTGATACTAAACAGTTGTTTGACTACAGTAGGGATGAACTACGATGTCTAACAGGCCTTCTTACAGGGAACTGTCATTTGAATCATCATCTGCAGATACTCGGACTATCGGAAGACAGTATGTGTCGTATCTGTTTGGAAAATGATGGAACAGCAGATCACACACTTTGTACCTGCCTGAATCAGTTTTTTACAGTTCGGCAGAGCCGTATTCTTACAATGTGACCTCAAAGGCTTCGTTAAGAAGCTGGGTTTATTTGGTAGAGTGTGAATAGGTGTATAAGCCACAATAAACCCTTGCGGGATGCGGTGGACGGTCGAATAGACCCACTAACTTTGGACCTAATCCAACCTAACCTGAGCCACCTATCTTCAGTGAAACCAGAAAGCTATAAAGATTAAAAAATGTGAGACACACTTAGGGATTTCAACAAAGTTGTACTTATATTATGAAATTATGTAAATTAACATTGGGTTAGAACAATTGAAGTCCATGATTATGTCCAGCATGGTTGGGTAGAGTGTTTACGATAATTAGTAACATCGAAATTTGTGACATTTTTTTAGGTGTAAATCGGACAATCAGACAATGACGTTGAAATTTCAGAAAGGTTCATGGAATTGATTGAAAGAAAATAAAATTACAACGACCTCTTCCTTGAGAAAAGAAGCGAGGAAGAGAGAGAAAACTGAACTTTATTTCCTTATCGAAGTTTTCTTTTCCTTCTTCTCTTCAAGATTTCAACTTCACCCACGATAGGTCGTTGTAATTTCATTTTATTTCAATCGATTTTGCATTGTTTGATTGTTCGATTTACCTCTGAAGAATTTTCACAAATTTCGATGTTACTTATTAACATAAATACTCTACCCAACCATGTTGGACATAATCATAATGAATAAAAAGCATTTGTGTTGAATTATAACGTATGACTTTCATATTTTTCAATTGTTTCAACCTAATGTTGATTTCCAAGATTCTCATAATATAAGTACTACTTTGTTGAAATCACTGAATGTGTCTGATATTTAATAATTTTGGTAGCTGTTTCAGGTTTTACTGAAGATGTGTGGCATACTCCATGTTTAATTGCCATTGACCTCCAATGTTTTCAATTTTCTGAATCACAAATGAATATGTATATATTTTGTGGAAACTATATTGTTTTGATTCTGATAAAAAAAGTTGTCACTATGGCCAAACAGATCGGATCGGATCGGTAGTTGCAGAACATGTTCTTTCAGAGGGCAGTCTTGACACTTCAACAGTGAGGAAGAGAGCTTAAGCATCAACAAGACATGGATATCGGTAGTGGTAATAGAAGTGGTAATAGTGGTAGTAGTAGTGGTAGTAGTAGTGCTGATAGTAGTAGTAGTAGTAGTAGTAGCAGTAGTAGTAGTTTTTTCGGAGAGTGGAAAAATCTTCCAAAGACACCTGGTCGCCCTGTGACCAGATAGTGTCGGATTTTTACCGGCTAAAAAAACTACTCATGAGTCAGGCTACTCATGAGTCAGACAGGCTACTCGGGAACCGCCCTCGGGCATTACTTCGGAATAGCAGACTGTAGTGATGGTTCAGGGCTCTTCCTTTTTCTTCAGTACTTCATTATTATTCATGTAGTCTTTTTCTTTTTTTGTCAGGATGGTCTTGAAGAGTTTACTAACGGCTTTCCGGTGATAATTATCCTGTTGTCATTTCTGCGTTTCGTCTCTGTTCTTTCCAACGTATGCATTCAAAGATTATATGTTCTACCGTATCTATCATCCCGCAATACTTGCACTCTTCTGTGTCACTCACTTTAAATCTAAACAGATACGCCTGAAAACACTCATGCCCCGTTAGTACTTGTGTGAGAAAGTAATTCAATTCTCCCCATTTTCTGTTCATTCATGGTTCTATGTCTCTTATCAGTCTTCTGGTCCAATTGGCCTTTCCATCGTCTATCACCCAAAATTTTTGCCATTTTTCCATAATTTGTAATCTTGCTAACCCTTTTGATACGTTGTTTTGAACCATTGTTCTCTCTTCCGCCAGCAGATCTATGGAGGGGTTCTTGCAATCATCAGCAGTGCTTTAGTTAATGTTGTTTCATATGTACACGCTATTTTTATGACTGCTTTCCGTTGATCATGTAGCATGATCGATTGGGCGACTGAGCATAGAATTCTTCTGCTACCTTCTTGAGGATCCCCAACGTTGAGCATCATCCTGCTTAGGTTGCTCGTGGGTTTTCCCGCTTTTTCTGCTATTTTTCTAACATGAGCTCCCATTTTCATATTTCGATCCATGTGGATTCACAGGTATTTAATATATTTTCGGCTACGGATGTTCGTTTCCTCCAATTCAATTGTAATACTTTTCAGTTTTCTGCCTGCTGCCAGCAGTACTACCTCTGACTTCTGTGGGGTAAGCTTGAGTTGTTTCGCTATCATCCACTTGGCTATATCCTTCACAGTTCTATTGGAAGTTCTTGCCAGACTTTCTTCATTTTTCTCCTCCACCACTACGGCTGGGTCATCTGCGTAGCCTATTAGGTTAACTTCGCTAAGGACCTTCAGATTCAGTACCCCATCATAGTTTATGTTCCATAATGTGGGACCAATTACGGAGCCTTGTGGAACACCACAGATGATGTTCATTTTTCCCTTGTATCCTACTATTAACTCTCTCTCTTCAAGGTAGCTGGCAATCATATTGTACAGGTATGCAGGTACATCTCTTATTTTGATTTCGTACAAGATCCCTTCCCATGGCGCGGAGTTGAAAGCGTTTCGTACATACAACGTTATCATGGCGCAGCTTTTCCTGCTAGTCCTTTCGTTTCCTTGATCTGCGATTTTTTTTACCTTCGCCAGTGCATCTGTGGTAGTAGTAGTAGTAGTAGTAGTTTTTTTTCGGCGAGTGGAAAAATCTTCAAAAGACACCTGGTCGCGCTGTGACCAGATAGTGTCGGATTTTTACCGACTAAAAAACCACTCATGAGTCAAGCAGGCTACTCTGGAACCGCCCTCGGGCAATACTTCGGAATAGCAGACTGTAGTGATGGTTCAGGGCTCTTCCTTTTTCTTCAGTACTTCATTATTATTCATCTAGTTCTCTTCTTTGTCAGGATGGTCTTGGAGAGTTTACTAACGGCTTCCTAGTTTTCTACTTTTTGAGCATCTTCCCTATTATGTTTTCCGGTATTAATTCTACTGTCGTCATTTCTGCGTTTGGTCTCTGTTCTTCACAACGTATGCATTCAAAGATTATATGTTCTACCGTATCTATCATCCCGCAATACTTGCACTCTTCTGTGTCACTCACTTCAAACCTGAACAGATACGCCTGAAAACACCCATGCCCCGTTAGTACTTGTGTGAGAAAGTAATTTTTTGTTCATCTTCTGTTCATCCATCGTTCCATATCTCTTATCAGTCTTCTTGTCCAGTTGGCCTTTCCATCGTCTATCTCCGAGTAGTAGTAGTAGTAGCAATAGCAGTAGCAGTAGTAGTGGTAGTAGTACCTAATTTATTGATGCAACAGATTCTACACTAACTTTGGCTATAGTTGAAATTTCATTCAACTCTTCTGAAAATTGAATGACTGAGATGTTTGATGATTCATAAAATGAACATATCATAATCCGGCCTGCTACCAAAAGTTTCGTCTGCTACTGCAGCGGACATCATCATTGGTATGACAATATCAGTCCTTGCTGAGACCTTCGTAGTCAACGCACGTCGTATAAGAATAGGAACGTTTGCTACTTTAGGTTCTATTCGAATACAGCTAACAAGATCGGATAATGTTCTATTCATTAGTAATTTCGGTCTATTTCAATGCTTTGAATGTGAATACGAATCCATAGCTGTTAAATTTTCGTATCATATGTAGTTAGTGGAAAAATAAATCTTCAGAAACAGCTGAATATTGATAGCAACGCCTCGTTCTTCACGTGTGAAACTCTGCATATTCAATATCCATAATGATAATAATATCCATATGTATATTTCATCATAGAATATGATTATGAATCATCCAGATCACAACGTGAGCCACCAATACGTTAAACAGAAGACCTACGACAGAAAATTGATCGGGCATGCCGGGAGTCGGAAACTCCGGACGTCTTCAATAAATTTAAGGAACGCTTTCGAAAGTGGACTGTATTATTGTATGGAACTAGACGGAGGTACTTTCGAACACTACATCCATCGATTGTGTTGCTATTGATATTACTTCTGTTACGCCCTCTAGATTCGATGAATCAACTAGTCATTAAAATTCACTTTCACGATGAGATAAATAATACAATTTCATTTCAGATGACCATATGATTACAAGTTTCCTGATTATGAATAAGTTCAGCATTGAGAATGTTAAGCAGAAAATAGATATGTACTACACCATGAGATCTTTATATCCAGAATATTTTGAAAACAAGCACCCTCTGGCTCCATGCATGCAAGAAATCATGGATAATTTGTGAGTGTCTGAATTTTCAATTATTTTTACTGGGGTGTGAAACAGTCGAAAAGTCGAAGTTTTAATGAAATTTCTAGCTCAAAGCCGGAATCCAAAGAAAGTCTAAAATTCGAGTAGAAATTTGAAAGAAAGTATCATATTCTACTTTCAATATATAGAAATATTATTAAATTTTCAATTTGAATTGAAAATTTTGTAGAATTCCGACTTTTGGATCGAAATTTTATTGAATCTCGATATAAGACTCAAAATTTTGTCATTTTTCTCAATTTAATGAATTTTCGGGTGAAAAGTTGAACTCAATCGGTAGTTTGAACTGTCTATTATGGCTAATCGGCAGTTTGAGCTGTATACTATAGATAATCCAAGTTGAAATCTAAGATTGAACTAAGTCGGTAGGTTGAACTGTAGATTGTGGCTAATCAGCATTTTAAAGATAATCGTTAATGTTAATGTTAATGTTAATGATAATCGACATTAAATCAGTGATCATACTCAATCGGCAGTTTAAACTGTCGGTTGTGGCCAATTAGGAGTTTGAACTGTCTACAATAGATAATCGACAGTTGAAATTATCAATTATACTTAATCGACAGTTGGAACTGTCGAATGTGGATATTCGGTAATTTGAACTGTCTACTATAGATAGTCGACAGTGGAAATTTTCGATTATACCTAATCGGCAGTTTGAACTGTCGATTATTTGTGGCTACTTGGCAGTTTGAACTGTCTACTATAGATGATCAAGGGTTGAAATCATAGATTGAACTCAATCGGCAGTTTTAGCTGTCGATTGTGGCTAATCGGCATTTCGATGTGTCGATAGTCGACAATAAATCTTTGATCAAACTCAATCGGCAGTTCAAACTGTCCATCATGGCTACTCTGCAATCTAAAATATCTACTATAAATGATGGACAGTTGAAATTATCGATTATAATTAATCGACAGTTCAACCGGCGATTATGGCTACTCAGTAGTTTGAACTGTCTACAATAAATAATCGACATTGAACTGCTTGATCGGCAGTTTGAACTGTCTATTGTAGCTAATCGGCATCTTGATCTGTCAACTATTGATAATTGACATCAAATTATTGATTATACTCAATCGGCAGTTCAAAATGTTGATTGTAGCTAATCGTCAGATTGAACTGTTTATTATAGAAACAATTCTCTGTACTGTTTCTGTGCATTCATAATTTCATTTACCATTCGAAAGATATACAGGGTATTCCATATTCGATGGTCTATAAGACGTTTCTAGAGAACAAAAAAAGATGAGAATTTTAAATTTTGGTTATCGCAATGTTTCTACATCTACATGTCACAGACATCAACTTGGAAATTTCAAAAGGAACACCCTATATATTATATCATTTTTGAATTTTGCATCAGAATCCAAGTTACTTTTGTTGAACATGTTCTACACTTATCTCAAATCGTTTTTAAAATATTAATTATTCTGTTTTTTTTTGGCGAAAACATGGTATTCTTAATATTTAATACGGCACAAATTAACTGACACAATCGAACTCAACTCCTGGCAACATTGAGATTATATATGGTGGTTATCATTTCAGAATGGAATTCGAATCTTATTTTATACAGAGTGTCGGAAAAATATGTCTCAATTTGTATCTTTGATAAGCAACCATAACTTTTATTTCAAATAGAACACCCTGTATATTATTCAATTTTTGAATTCAGCCAACCAATGTGAACAACTTTGATCAACTATGTCCTGTACCTATCTCTGACCGTTTATGAGATATGAACTATTTTGAAAAAAATTGCTCCTATGCAAGAATAAAAATTTCCAATGAAATCAAAAATCAAGTGCATAATACACACATTATTGAAATTTCAGCGTAGGTCTCGGGCCTCCTAATATTCACTCTTCAAATAAATATGGTGAAACTTTTTCTATTTCCAATCATCTACTCGAATATCAAGACTTTTAAACATTAATTTTGAATTTCACAACCGAATTTCGGAAAGGATAATGATGTGTCATGATCCAAGTCTGATTTAAAAAACACAATAATGGATTTCACAATAACTTGTTCAAAACTAATCAATACAGTTTATTGCATGATTCTCACTATAAAGGGTTTTACAAAAACCTTGACACGCGTTTCGCCATACAATAACTTCTTCAAGCGTAAACTGTCCGACTGTCATATTGAGGTTGTGAGTCCGGTAACTGGTGATATGGAAAATGGAATGAACATTTTAAGGTATTTTTATGGTTATCCTCATGCTTCAGTATCTAGTGCTGCAGTTGATTTGGGAATATCGCGAATTTGTATATGGAGAATTTCACAAAAACATAATATGCTCGATTGGAAATCATTTAGGCTGCAAGCTTTGCATAAAGATAATCCACCGAAACGGATATAATTTTGCGAAATGCCACTAACATAGACATACGAAAATCCAAACTTTTTAAAATAAAATTATATGGACTGATAAATCACAATTTCTACGTGTCGAAATAATCACTTGTGAGCAAAGGGGATTCCAACAAAAAATTTGTTTTAATGTTTTTTGTATGCTCATGGATCATGAAGTTTATATTTGCATTTATGAAGAAAATTTGAATTCTGAAAAATATTTAGATATTCTGAGATCGACTGGCAGTGATTTTCTGGATAACTCGGCCCTGAACTTGTCTCGGAATTGTTGCTATTAGTTGGATGGAGCTCCTGGACATTGCACACTTGAAGTGTGCACCGTCACCGGATCTGACTTCCCTAGATTTTTACCTATGGGGAAAATCTAAGAAAAGTTATATAGAACACATATCGATACGAAACAGGAACTGAAAGATCGAGTTAGATGTGTCTTCGAGGAAATCAAGCCGTCGGAAATCCGCAGAGCCACGACTGATCACGTGATAACATCAATCCATCAATGTTCACAAAAAAATGGAAAGCATTTCAAGCACATGAGCTACTAAATTTTCGTCATATCAGTATCAAATGTCAAATAATTTCACAATATTATCTCTTGTTTTCTAGTGTAGAATTATTTTTGTTATCAATTTAATTTTGAAAAGTGTTAGTTCTTGTGTCAAAATAGTAATTTGTGTCATATACCCACTATGAAATTTCATTCATGTATTCTATTAAACCTTTCTGAACTAATGTAAAAGGTTTATTCATTATTCGATATGTTCAATTATACATTTTTCCCCGAATTTTATATTTGAAATGTTATATTTGTATAGAAAAATTCTTATCTCATAAATGGTCAGAGATAGGTATAGGACGTAGTTGAATAAAGTTATTCACATAAGTTGACTGATTTCGATAATTGAATAATATACAGGGTGTGCCACTTGAAAAAAATAGTATTGAGACGTATTTTTCAGACACTCTGTATAAAATAAGATTTGAGTTCCATTCTGAAATAACAACCACCATATGTTGCCAGAAGTTGAGTTCCATGTATCAGTTAATTCATGCGATATTAAATATTAAAAATACCATGTTTTCGCCAAAAAAAAACAAAATAATTATTATTTTTATAACGATGAGAGATAAGTATAGAACATGTTCAATAAAAGTAATTCGGATTTAGATGCAAAATTCAAAAAGGATATAATATTATTACCTCTTTCTGATATTTTTTTATGATGATCGAATGAAAGTCCACGGCTAATAGAGAATTTCAAAAAAAGGTAACAAGTTGCTAACGGCAGTCAATATATTGGGAGAGCAGTGGTCGTGGGTTTTTTATTTTGTGGAACA